ATCCCTCAAGCTTGAGCAGTGAGGACTGGGAGCTTGAGGGTCCTGCACAGTATCTTAGCTGTTACCAGGACTGCACTCTTCTGGACAGAGATCTGTGATGTTGTTCCTGGGATCTGCTGGAGCCACTCGCAAGGCTTGGGAGTCACTGCACCTAGTGCTCCGATTACCACTGGGACCACAGTTACCTTCACCCTCCACATCTTTTCTAGCTCTTTCTCTGACCCCTTGGTATTTCTTAAGTTTCTTGTGTTCCTTCTTCCTGATGTTGCTGCCATTCTGTATCACTACATCGATTACTACGGCCGTCTTCTTCTGCTTCTCTACCACCACTATAGCCATTACCATTTTGTCTTTCTATATCTGGAAGTCCTACAGGATCTTAGCTCGGTCATTCTCCACCACCCTAGGGGGTGTCGCCCACTTTGACCTCGGGACTTCCAGGGCACACTCGGCACAAATGTTCCTTGGTAATGGTGTTCCATGTATGCCCTGGCTGCTATCATTTTGCACCCTTCTGTTATGTGCTGAATTGTCTCAGGGGCATCTTTACACTGCCTGCACCTGGGGTCTTGCCTGGTGTGATAGACCCCAAAACCCAATGGATCTTGTACTTAGAGTACACAGCTTGGTCAGCCTAGCCTTGCAGACTTAGCTGACTGCTCAGTCTACCTGGTGTTTTGCTGGTGTTTTGCGCCTGCTAGACCGAGCAGTCAGTATAGGTATACAATACAATATATATATTATATATTAATGTATGCGATATATATGAAAACATTAAGAAATTAACTTATTAAGATACTCATGTGTCCCTACACTAGAAAGATTTAGCATCATGAAGAATAGAAATATATTAAAAGAGTGTATTTAACTCGGAAACAAGTACATTTCAGAACATTGGACAAGCTGTCACTGCTGAGATTATGAAATATTTTTAACCACAGACGTTCTAAGTGACAGTTGATGAAATGGCAAAAGCTGTTAAAACAGCAGTTCAAGAGTAAGTTTAAACAGATTTGATTTCTGCAGAGGGATTACTTGCACCTCTACATGAAACAATAGCTCTTAAACAAACAGCAGCCAACAGGGTGACATTGCACTGAACTTGGAGCTTGTCTGGAATGCATCACTGTCAGGGAGAAACAACAGACCTGAAAGGAAATAATGTGCGTGTGTGTGGGGGTGTGTTTGCAGGAATTCAGCTCCCTATAGCGTGTCAATGTACAGAAGTTCAGGAAAGAGGGCTGGCCTGGACTAACAACTGCTGTCATGGATTTTTCCTCTGCTCAGAGGCCCTCTGCGGTGGACGGGGTGACTGTTTCCTCCCTGTGACAAACGGGAATGGAATCAGACCGAATTACAGTAACTGCAGTGGCAATATTCTACACAGTGGTATTATAAATGAAACACACACACATAACACACACACAATTATAAAAGGTTTGGAAGCCACATTAGCAATAAATAGCAATAAAAACTCAAAGGCTGGTCGGATAATACCACAGCTCAGCTTTGTTTACACTACATCGTCCTGTTCTGGAGCTGCTAGAGTGATTAAACAGCCTCTTTCTGTTCTAACAAAGACAGGAAACAGTGAATCTAATATGACTTCTTAGAGCTGCTTTCAGATCTTCCATAACCCCTACACTGCTGTTGGCAAATTCACTTTTAAGGATAAAATAAAACAAACTTAAAAATCAGACCAAATTCCAAAAGTGTCTTTAAACCAGCAGTATATACAAGCAGCTAAAACTGTTGTATAGTTTCGTGTATTTATGGGTTGCAACATTTGCACGCTTCTGTTTTTTTGAGTTCAATGTAAAAGATCCTGATATTTGTATATATCAGTAGATTTTCATTATAAACACTCAAAGAATCATATTTAAGAAGGATTTAAGAAGAAAACAAGACAGTGCTGAAAGGACTGTGAGCAAGTATTAGATCACCTTAACCTTATTAGGTACACCTTGCTAGTTCTGGGTCGGACCCTCTTTTGTCTTTAGAACTGCTTTGATTCTTCGTGGCACAGATTCAACAAGGTGCCCGAAACATTCCTCTGAGATTTTGGTCCATATTGACACGATAGTGTCAGAGTTGCTCCGGGTTTGTCAGGTGTACGTCCATGCTGCAGATCTCCCATTCTGCCACATCAGATTCCAGGCCATTTGATGTTATCCTGCTGGAAATAGGCGTCATGCGCCCAGAACTTGCCCACGCCTTTACATTACCAGAAGCAGTCTGAAAGTAGGATTGAGCCACGATTTCATGTTCCTTATGCCAAATTCTGACCCTACCATCTGAATCTTACAGCAGAAACCAAGTCTCATCAGAACCGGCAATGTTTTTCCTGTCCTCTGTTGGTGACCCTGTGCCACTTATGTCAGCTAAGACTCATGTCTTAGCTGACGTGAGTGGTGCACAGTGTGGTTTTTTGTTACTGTCACCACTCAAAGTTGGATGTCTTGCATGTTCACAGATGCTTTTCTGCATATCTTGGTTGAAACAACATATTTGAGATAATCTTGCCTTCACATCAGCTTGAATCATGTTCCTTTTATGTCTGTTATCAACAAAGCATTTCTGCCACTGGATATTTTCTCTTTTTCTAGCCATTCTCTATAAACTCTTCAGATGGTTGTGTGGGAAAATCCCAGTAAATAAACAGTTTCTGAATTACTCAGACCAGACCATCTGGCACCACATCCAAAGTTGCTTAAATTGCCTTTCTTCTTAATTCTGGTTGGTTGGTCTGGTTTGAACTACTGTATATTTTCTTTATCATTTTTACATAGCTAAAAGCATAGAGTTGCATCTTCAGTGGTGTTTTTAGTGTCAGCTGTAATTTGGCAATAACAAACTTCACCCCAATGAATAGAGTTTACCGTATTTTTCAGTAGAAGCTGTTGTGCATTCAAGTACAAGATTTTAGATATTTAAGCGTAGTAGTTTTTTGAGAATCAAATATAAAATCCACCCTTGCCTTTTTCCCAACAGTATTTCCTCTGTGCCTGTGGAGCCAGATGGCAATTAAAGCTGCAGCAGCAGACTGAGGTAATTGACATGCTGCTGCCGACATGCTTTGTTGACGCCCCTGGCATTGCTCCAGTCTTTCCTGCAGGAACAGGAGGGCGTAGTCATGATCAGCAGCTGGCCTCACGCTGCCTGACCTCTGCCCTAACCCTCTTCTCCGTCTTTCTGCTTACCCACCAGCTCTGCTACACCCACTTGTCTGTCTCCCGTTCTCTCTCTTGAGTATGACTAAAGCGTTTGTGCTATCTAAAAAAACCCAAACTATCCAGAGTACTTTTGATCCGATGGTTAAAGTGATCTGAAGTAAACTGCATTTAAGTAAATAATGTTAGTCTTACAAAACTAAAACATTTTCACTGGCGATCTTAATATAATAATGGTCAAAAGGACATTTGTCTGATGTAGGCTGAGGAAACAACTATCAGGTTAAATCTATGATTTACTCTAAGACATGCTTGATTAAATATTGACTTGTTGACACATAAATTGGTCTTCAGTGGTTTCTGTGGGGAAGCCTGTAAGGTTTGGTTTATGTTTCTGCTACCTTAACATGATTAAACTTTTCTTTTCTTGTTTTCACTGAAAAATCTTGAAAATTCATAAAGAAATTGACTGCATTTTATAGTCAATGTCCAAATACAGGGTTAAGTCTAGACACTAATCTAGTCTTCTCATCACTTGATCATCAAGCAAATAATACATCACACCTCATCTGTATTGTTTACTGCTAATCAGTATATGTTAGCACAGTGCTAAAAGCACAGCAAATACCTGATAAGCATTTAGCTCAAAGGGTACAAAGTTTAGATTTTTACCACTTTCTTCTGGATATTTAATCATTACACAAAACAACCGTTGAATACTGGCATTGAATTCACTCCACACTGAAATATTCAGTCAAACAGACCAATAAAAATATTTTACTTGGCAATTAAAACCCAAACAGATGAATAAAATATTCAGGTAGAAATCTGTAACGTTTTAGTCATCCAAGTATTTCTTGTACTGAGGATATCACTGGTGAAGTGTTTTACTGAGTAAATTCAAATGTCCTTGCACCACCTGACCCCGCAGGCTGGGTGCAGTGCAAATGTGATGACCTGCAGAAATAAATAGCTAGTAAGTGCGAAACCTGACTCCTACAGATCAGATCAGCAGAGAACAGACGGCGTCTCCTGTTGTCTGAAGGGCAGCAGATGCAGACCTGAGGTTTGGGGGGTGGGGGTACATCCCACTGCAGGAACCACAAATCAATAATATCCACTTCCAGAGGAGACAAAAATAGGTTTTGCAGGCTAAGACAAAACGGTTTCTGAATTCAAACCATAACCGGTAATATCACACTGACGTTCTTCCGCAAAACACTGCTGTCATAGTTTTCTAATGCAGTCCAGTTCAGTGAGGAATTTTGTTACAGCAGACATAAAGTCATGCAGTGAAATCGCAGAAGTAATCATAGTGTGATAGAAAGAAAAAAATCATTAAAATCACTATGCCACGTCTTACTGAACAAACAAGGATAAAATTTTATTGAACATCCAAAGTTAAGAAGTTTTAGTGCAACATCAAACTTATTCTGACTTTCTAAAAGTTATCACCTCCTTATTCAAGAGAGGCAGGAATCAAGATGCTCATTGATCTTTGACTCCTGGATCTTTGCTTGGCACACTGGACAACAGACCATCACTGCAAAGGAGGAGGGGGATGAAGAAGAGGAGGCAACACTGTGCAGTCCTGCTGAGGACTGCAGAGAAGCAGAAGAGGAGGGTGTGGTGGTGGCACTGGTAGTTCTCTGCAGCACTTCTGGTGATTTTGCCTTAATTGATTCCTTCGATGTTGCTGAATCGCTGCCTAAGGTCTTCTGGAAGAAGTCAAAGATGCTGGCAGAGCTGCTGCGGTCATCCCACGACCTCTGTCTTGGCGTCTGATTCCTACCCACAGCCGCTGATGTGCTGTCACTGTCAGAATTAGTAAAATACTTGGACTGTACAGGTCTTGAAGTGCTACCCTGGGATCCGGTTGTAACTACAGATGAGACCTTGGAATGGTTTGTTATGTCAGGGCTGGGACTGGGCGTGCTGGGAGAGGAAGTCAAATGATTATTTTGTTGTTTTTGAAATATAGAGGAGGCAGAAGCAGCATTTGTGGAAGACTTTGGTGATATCAGTGAGTCTCTTTTGGTCTCTGACTTCCTGAGGCTTGTGCTATTAAAAAGGTCGTCAATGGAACTCTGTTTGATCTTATCTCCTCCTTGGCTGCTACTACTGCTCTGGAATTTTGGCATTTTCACTGGTGAACCGTTTATGTTGACAAAGTGGCTCGCGTTGCCGACAGACCTCTTTACAGGTGGCTTTTTCCCCATGGAAGTGGATGGTCTGACTGAGGTAAAAGTGTTGGAAATCCCATTGGTCTTGTTAGAGTGAACAGGAGAGGAGACACTTTTAGTCGGGGACGATGGCGTGAAGAACTTCTTTGGGGAGGGGACAGGGTTGGACAATGGTGTTTTCACAACAGGAAGTGGTGGCCTGGAAGATGGCAAGGAAGACGTTGAGTCCTGAGACTTCCCCCCAAGGATGAAGCCTTTCCCACGAAATGGGATGATGTTCCTTATATCCTGTGATCCAGAACCTGGGACAGGAAATGATACAATTTAGAGTCAGCCATGCAATGTATTTAAATCCAGTAACTTAGTTCAAGTGGACGTGGTTTGCTTTTTCTTTAATTTCAGTTCTTATATTATATCTTTTTATATACAAGACCAGAGTTTCTGACAATAAAGTCAGTTCATTTAGATGCTCTAAATCAGGGGTGTCATACTCCTTTCACACTGTGGACCACATACAGTCCACTTTGATCTTAAGTGGGCCTAACCAGTGAAACTCCTTTTTCTGAAAGTGTAAAGAAGTTAATAATATTATTATTATTACTATTATTATTATTATTATTAATTGTGTAGTAATTACACACTTAATGTTTCCAAAGCTGTCCAGTGGGTAAGCCTAGAGTCTCTGAGGGGCCAATTCAGTAAATACCATTCTTTATATTTCTTGCATGTTCTGTAGCAGGGGGTCATTTGATTTAAATTGATTTTACATGCTCAAGTTACTCAGTGGAAACAATCTATTCACAGTTAAAAGCGGTCAGGCATAAAAGCATGACATGACTGTTGTTTTGAGGCTGTCACAGAAAATTAAGAACATTTTTCATTGAGGTTTAAAATGTTTGAAATATGAACAAGATTTTCTTGTTTGTTGGTACAATGTTTTAAAGCTTAATACACAGGCGTGTACGGGCATGTTACCTGTAGTCGTACTTGAAGGCTTGCCACTTCCTGTGGCCTTCTTCTCTGAGGTCTTGCTGGTTTTTTTGCATTTTTTGCCATATCCTTCAGGCTCCTTGATTTTGGTGTATGTGCCACCACATGTTCTCTGGTGATCCTCCCACCAAGGGTCCAGAGAAGAAGGAGCTCTATTCATGGCCCTCTTCACGTAGCCAAAGTAGGGTTTACGCTTCTGGCAGGGCCCATCACACCGCCACCAGTGCTGCCGGTACACATCAACCTCATCGTGGAAGCTGTGGTAGATCTGATGAAAGAAAGGAAAGATGGGAAGACATAAGTTTATGAAAATGGGCATGGATGCCAAACATGACCAATCCAGCCCAATAGACTGGTAAATTGACTGATTCTTACAGCTTTTCTACTCTCCCGGAGTACTCAAAGCGCTCTATAAACATGCCACATTCACCCAATCACACCCATTCTCACAAGCACCATCTCGATACTGAGATTCCGATGGGAGCAACTTGGGGTAAGTGTCTTGCCCAAGGATACTTGATATGCAGACTGGAGGAGGCAGGGATCGAACCACCAACCTTCCAATCAGCAGTGACCTGCTCTACCTCCTGAGCTACAGCCACCCCAATGAATGGGTTTACAAAAAATTGCTGTAGAAGCATTAACAATTGAAGGTTTTCTAAAATAAAAATCCAGCATGAAAATGAACGAAGACATGAATGCATGTAATTTTGAGCTTTTACTGATTTCTGTTGTCTCTTCAGGATGGAATAATGGTACAGCATTCAAAAACAAGAAGTGGATGTCAAAGTTTGAATTTATTTTGGATTTCCTCTAATCCTCAGTGTCAAGCTCAAATATATACATGCATTCACTTAAATATTTTAATAATTGCTGGTGGAGGTTCTACAATGTCTTTTAACTTTTAACCCCTTAGCAGTCCTACAAATTTACAATTAGTCCCCTAAACCATCCAATGTACCGTGGGCGGTACGTCCGACTGCTAACAGGTTAATAAATGTACTAACTTCTTGTTAGTGATCACGATTCGCTCCAAATGGTAATTTTTCTTTGCCAGGACTCGCTGGACTGACCAATACTCAGAGCAATACGAAAGGCCAAGACACTTAGATAACTCTCCATCTTAGATTTTCACAACTTTGGATGTGTCACTGCTTTGGCAGGGTCTGGAAAAAGACCCAAACTATCATCCTGAGATGAGAGGAAGTGAGTTTTAAATGCCAACAGGAGTGATCAAATATCCAGCCAGAATTACACCAGAAGCTTGTTAATGGCTACCAAAAACATCTGTTCAAGGTGCAAATTGCTAAGGAACATTTAACCAAATACGAGTGGGATTGTATGTTTAGATTTGGGCCTATATGCAGTTTTGATCCAGTGTGGATTAGAGAAAATCCTAAATGAATTCAAATGTTTCTTGATTACTTTGCTGTTCAATCACTGCACCCTGAACAGCAGTTCAAACAAATCATTAAAAGCCTCAAATTCCCATGACATTCAAGCCCATGATGCCTATATGTAAACTTCTGAATACAACTGTAAATTTGAAGGTTTGTATGTATACGTGGTCCACAAAACAGAATAAGTTTGAAAATGTCTCTTATGGGACTACCAGTTCAATGCTCAAGAACATACACTTACAGTGATCTTGGTCCCACTGGCTTTGTTGATCCGGTTCATGTGTTTGCAGAACTCAGGTCCGTGGCCATCTCTGTCCCGGTTATTTTGTGTCACAAACAGGAGCGCGTGAATCATTTCATGGAGAAGGGTCTGTGGCAACCAGGGAAAAATAAACTGATTAAGAACATGAAAATTGTCCTCTTTTACAAGGATTACAAGCTCTAATCTATCACACTGTCACACATTCACTGCTGGGGTTAGGAAGGTAAAATGATAGATGTATAAATTTCATCCCCTACAACAAGCTCTTTCCCAGTGTTTCTGATGTGAATGGTGTTCAGGTCGACCTCACCTCTACCAGGTCTTTTCTGGGTCTAAGCTTCAGCAGAGGCTCACTCAGCCTGATTGAACATAGTCCACCTCGACCCTCATAAGAACAAACTCCAGCACACCTAAGAGAGAAAAAAAAAGAGAGGAGCAGGACACATTACAGACATGCAAAACCAAATCCCGCACAAAAATCAAAGGTGTTATTGTGTAGACAACTTTGTGGGAGTTAACAAGAACAAAAACATGCATGACTTACAACGTCATTCTCGAGCTCCACTTCACCTCCACACCGCTAAGTTTACCCCAGAAGAACATGTCATTGAACTCCAGAAACATAGCCCTGACGTCGGGGTTAGGGTCAAGCATCTCCCAGGACTCGTCCACAATGGACATTGGCCTCTCAAGCTGGGGATTCGGTTTCCAGTAGGGAACAACATCGCTACCACCTCCAGCTACCTCCACTCTCCGTTTCTTACTGCTCGGCCCGAAACTATCATCTACAGTACCACTTGATGAAGATAATAAAGCCTGGTATTCCTGATCAAACTGCTCCTGCAGCCGAATAGCGAGCAGGAAATCCTCATCCATGACAAGAGAGAAAAGTTTTGTGGTTGTTTTGATGATATTTGTTGTTATGTTATTTGTTTTTAGTTAGCTTGTCAGCGCCAACTAGCTAATGCAGTTTGTACAGGTCTCAAACAGGCGGTAGCATTACGTCGTCCCAAAATGTAGTCTGACAGATTACCAATACGTCCAAATACTTTCTGTCATGTAACTTCTGTCATGAAATTTTCAGTGACATTTTCATATTACTAACCGTCAGACCAAAGCTAGTGCGAAGATCCGTGTGCCAAGTCTGTCACAATAGGAAAAAATAAATTCCGGTACAGGTTTCAAAGTAAAACAATTAAGTAGTTTTAAACGACTAAGTAAGTTTTAAGTAAAAGCCTGTTTTCAATATGGCTATTTTCTTTGTTGTTTTGATGTATAAGTTTAAAATATCAAACTATCTGCATATGCGTTCTGTAGCATCTACTAATATTTTTTTTCTAAAATGGAACATTCTTTCAATCATAAAATGCTATATCCGGTTTAGTTTTGCCTAACTACCATAAACTCGATTATGTAGTCAAGCAACGTCTTTGCAATGGATTATGGGAACTGTAGTGTTGTTCATTTCAAGTAGTTTCCGCCAGTTAAATAAATAAAAGCAACACGGCTTTCTAATATAAATCATTAACATATGTTAAATTATATTAAAAAATAAATATAAGACCCATTATGAACGACCTATGATCATTTAGATTTTTTTTGATTGTTTTATTATTTTTTTGTATCCCGTGACGTTCCAGGGTGTCAACTTCCTGTTTAGGCTACAAGCGGATATGAACGAAGGAGCCGCCTCGATGAACTGTTTCTCTGTCCAGTTTTTTCTACATTTTCTCAACAATTTATCTCAATAAGTAAACAGTTACACGGCAAAAGATGTCGGAAACGGGGAACCGACTACGGAAGCAGCTCGAATCGCCCAATTTCGACCCGCAAAATTACGTCAAGCAGCTGTCACAGCAGTCCGATGGCGACAGGGATTTGCAGGAGCACCGACAAAAAATCCAAAACCTTGCCGACGAAACGGCTCAAAATCTGAAGAAAAATGTTTACAAGAATTACAGACAGTTCATCGAAACAGCCAAAGAGATTTCCTATCTGGAGAGCGAAATGTACCAGCTGAGCCACATCCTGACTGAACAGAAGAGCATCATGGAGAGTATCACTCAGGCCCTGCTGTCCACAGATAAGGATGAGACGTCTAAAGAGATGCAGGCAGCTTTTCCCAAAGAGACTGAGGAGGTGAAGCAGAGGACCCTCACCTCACTGCTGGAGAAAGTGGAAGGGGTTAAAAACATCATGGACACCCCAGGCAGGCACCTTATCTACAATGGGGACCTTGCAGAGTTTGATGTTGACAACATGTCCCCCATTCAGAAGGTGCACGCTTTCCTGATGAATGACTGTCTGCTGATTGCCACCTGGCTGCCTAACCGCCGTGGCACGGTTAAGTATAAATACAACGCTCTGTATGACCTGGAGAGCTTTGCTGTGGTTAACGTGAAAGACAACCCACCAATGAAGGACATGTTCAAGATCCTAATGTTTCCAGACAGCCGCATCTTCCAGGCAGAGAACAGCAAAGTTAAGAAAGAGTGGTTGGAGATCCTAGATGAAACCAAGAAAAACAAAGTCTCCAAAGACAGGCATAAGAAGGAGGAGGAGGTCCCCACTTCTCCTGTTAGAGCTGAGGTATCCACCAATCCTTTTGATATGGATGATGAAGAAGACACGGTTGATGGTGAGGAGAGCGTGAATCTTAGCCTTGAGTGGATCCAGGAGCTGCCAGAGGATCTGGATGTGTGCATTGCCCAGAGAGACTTCGAGGGTGCTGTTGACCTGCTGGACAAGCTCAATGAGTATCTCAGAGATCAGCCTGTCACCCCGAAGGTTAAAGAGCTTAGGGGGAAGGTGGATGAACGTGTGCGGCAGCTGACAGAGGTCCTGGTGTTTGAGTTGTCTCCAGATCGGTCACTTCGTGGCGGTCCTAAAGCAACCCGGCGGGCTGTTTCCCAGCTCATCAGACTAGGTCCTTTTTTTTAAAATCAAAAATAACAAGCTTGCACACATCACCAAAACAAATAACACCTGTCTGCTATGATCTCACTTTATATTCAGTGTATTCACAGTAAGGATGTGCTCAGCCCTCTCACAGGGTTTCCACAATTCACTGTTCATTATTCAGGGAGTTTAGCTCATTCTCTTCCATCATTTGCATGGACTTGACTTTCAAATTGCTTGTTGTCCGAGTTCGACCTTGGATGCAGTTAAAGTGTAATTTTCAGACAAATAAGCTGTGCTTGCGGTGATCTGTATGTATTCACTGTTTTTCCCCTCATCTTCAGTCAAGGTGAATATTCTCAAACTACTTAATTAAGAAAATAACTTTCCTATTCAGAGCACTAAGAGAACTAACCTCATGATAGTTTATATATAGTTTACTATTTATTTTTTGTCAGAACTGTTCTTGAATGACCGAATGTTATAAAACCTTAGAAATTTGTATTTTGCTTTGGTGCAGAACAGCTTCGAGTGGATCCATTTTTAATTATGCCCGAATTTTGCAAACAGACTCCCACACACTGACTGATTTGCAAAAACATGTTTATTTGCAATTTTTCAGTACTTGACCTTTTTCGGGCAAAACATTACCCTTTAGCAGGAGTATGTAGGGTATAAACCTCTTTTAAAACTCAATCAAAAGGAAAGAGAGAGAACATTTTGTCTCCTGTCACTACACTCCCAGGTATTCTTTATGTATTCAAGGAGAGTTTGCCATCCAGTTTACTTTTTTTCCCCATTAAGCTTAATAGGTTTCAAGACATATACTAAAAACATACCAGAATCAGCTGAGAAATAGCTACACATGTTGTACATTTACAGTCATAAATATAAAGGCCCTCAGATTCCCATAATGCATCACACTTTGCATGTATTTGCAAAAATACAATGTAATTGCCATGAACATCTGTACTGTCTCATCACACAGTCATCTGTGTTTCAGGCCAGTCCACCAAAGCCTGTGAGCTCTTTCTGAAGAACCGCGCTGCTGCAGTGCAGACTGCTATACGGCAGCTTCGCATCGAAGGAGCCACGCTGCTCTACATCCACAAACTCTGCAACATATTCTTCACCAGCCTGCTGGAGACGGCCAAGGAATTTCAGATGGACTTTGCCGGGAACACAGGCTGCTATTCTGCCTTCGTGGTCTGGTCCAGATCAGCCATGAGGATGTTTGTGGACGCCTTCAGCAAGCAGGTAGTTAAAATGTCAGATGATAAAACCCTAAAATGAGTAATAGGTACGTCCCCTATGATTAGAAGATATGTAACATCTATCATTTGTATATTCTGCATTGTTTATAGCTAAAAACATACTAAGCTACTGAGACACGATGCAATATTTGTGTGTTCCGGTGGTGTTCTTAGGTATTAATGGTTTAAAATATGCAAATAACCAACAATGTGTTTTGGTATACAGAGGATAAGCTTCTGGATCTCAGGTGTATAAAAAAAGTTGAGTTGTTTTAGTAATAAAAAAAGCCATCTGAGAAGGGCAAAGAACTGAAAAGCATTGCTGCAACACAAGAGGATCTCTTAATTGGCAGCCAGAGCATGCAGCGTGCAAGTTAAAAATTATGGTTGTATGGTTTTCTTAATAAAGTAAATTTTTTTATTTCCTCGTTGCTAGGTGTTCGACAGTAAGGAGAGCCTGTCGACAGCAGCAGAGTGCGTTAAAGTGGCTAAAGAACACTGTCAGCAGCTCACCGAGATCGGCCTGGACCTGACCTTCACCCTGCAGTCCCTGCTGGTCAAAGACATCAAGGCAGCGCTCCAGAGCTACAAAGATATTATCATCGAGGCCACGAAACACAGAAACTCTGAGGAGATGTGGAGGAGGATGAACCTCATGACTCCTGAGGCTTTGGCTAAACTTAAGGTGGATCTGAATTATTTCTGTTTTGTCTCTTGGTTCTTATGGTTTCTCACTCACTCTTTTGTTTTCTTCAATTGTTGATTGTTTAATTGTTTTTAACCAAGAACCTCCTAAATTGAGTAACAGAAAGCAAAGCTTTGATAATCTGGGATTAATCTGCTTAAATGATTCAACTGTTGAAATTTTTCCACTGTGAACCTTTAAAGCTCCTTTTTATATAATTTCATATTTTGGGGGTTTTGCATGCTTAATTATGTTGTAATTTCTGGACGCAGGGATTTTGGCTTGTGTGCTTAGAGCTTCTGTTACAACAAATGCTGAGGATTTCATATGAAAGCTGCCACAAATCACTGTTTTCCTTTACCTGCTGCAACATTAACATATTTATCTTTCTGCAGGATGAGATGCGCAGTTGTGGCATTAACTTTGAGCAGTACACAGGTGATGACTGCTGGGTGAACCTGAGCTATACCGTCGTGGCCTTCACCAAGCAGATGATGAGCTTCTTAGAGGAAGGCCTGAAGCTCTACTTCCCTGAGCTGCACATGGTGCTGCTGGAGAGCCTGAGGGAGATCATCCTGGTGGCCGTACAGCACGTAGACTACAGCCTCCGCTGTGAGCAGGACCCTGAGAAGAAAGCCTTTGTCATGCAGAATGCCTCCTTCCTCCACGACACCGTGCTGCCGGTGGTTGAGCGGAGGTTTGAGGAGAGCGTGGGGAAGCCGGCCAAGCAGCTGCAGGACCTCAGGAAGAGCACGAGGCCGGTACGAATCAACCCCGAGAGCACCACATCCGTAGTCTGAGACCGACAGGAACTTCTGTGGCTTGAATTGAGGCGCAAGAATGGCGGCCATGAAACACCTACACACTCTCTAAATGACTGTTCTTGCAATTTCAACTCCCAATTTAGAAATAAACATAGCACCTTTTGGTTGTTTTTATGCTGCAGGACAGGAAATCACTGGATACATCACGGAAAAGAGTCACAATAGCACTGGAATAAGACAACTTAAAGTGCCCATATTATAATCATTTATAGGTTTTTAGTTTTAGTGGTTCATCAGAATTTTTTTCCTCAATATTTTTCTCATACTGGCTCCAAATAAAGTCCAGCCTGCTTTGATTTATCAGCCTATCCAGTCAAAATGAGAAATGGTTTTCTTGCCATAACCTTACAAATAGAGACACAACACTCAGTAAGAAAACCCACACACATTTCAACCAGAACTGGAAACAAGGCAGCTGTTTGTTCTTTTTAAGGGCAGGTCACACTAGCCAATAGCTAAGGTGTTGCACTAATCTGATACAGATAAATCACAGATGAAAACCTGGATCACAAATGATGTGCTCCAGGCAGTGGGAGAAAATAACCTGCATTATCCTAAACTTTTGTAACTTTGCAAATGTTTTACATGCATAAAAAAATAACCAACAGCTAAACTCAAAATGCATAATGTATTAACAGTGATTATTGACACGTGATAACTAAGGAGACTAAGCTCTTCTGAAAGAGGTGCAATGATTGTGTGAGGCTGATGAATCTATTGATCAGACAAACACACTATAATTACCATGATGGCTAAAGATCATTTTATTTGAAAGTTTAATTTTGAGGCTACTTATTCGACCGTTATTAGACACTAAAGTATTCAAGCACACAAGGACTTGATTAAAAGGGATGACTGAAGTGAAATGCACTGCTAAATGTTTTCTGTTATTCAAAAATAACACACGGAAATGAATAAAGATCATTATGCACAGAGTTCTCATTTTATCAATGATGAAGATGTTTAATTCATTTCAGTTTTATTTATATATCATTAATTGACAACAACAGTTGGGCCAAGGCCGTTTCTGTTTCAAGTTAAAGACCCTACAATATTAGAAAGAAACCCCAACAATCCCACAACCTCCTGTGAGCAAGCACTTGGCAACAGTGGGCAGAAAAATCTCCCATTCAACAGGAAGAAACCTCTGGCGCCATCTGCTGCCACTGGTCGGGGGTAATGGGGAAAGAAAGAGCAGAGAGACCGGACAAAAGGCAGACTAGGAGAGAGAGCTAGAGATGAATAATAAGTAATGATTAAATCCAGTAGTGGTGTATAAGGACACAGAGAGTGAAAGGAGACACGTGAAGAAGAAACGCTCAGTGCATCATGGGAAGCCCCCCCCCCACCCAGCGTCCAACTGACCGTAACCCTAAAGGAAAAGTTTAAGCCCAAGCATTAAAGTAGAGAGGGTGTCTGTTTCCCAGATGCAAAACTGAGTGCTGGTTTCATGGTAGAGATTCACAACACAGAAGCATTTTACTTCTGCTATGAAGGAATACAATTTATCTGCATAACATTTTCATTGTAACAATAAAGTAAAGCATCTAAAAGAAGCAGATGGTGTGTCACTGGGGGGAAAAAAGTATCTTAACATGAATTGTAAAACAGTAAAAATGCCCGAGGGCATTTTTAAATGAAATGAAAGAAGTGTTGTTCTTGCTGTACTAAGTGAAACTGAGTGCAACACGGTATGGTGTATTTTCTCATCTTCTAATTTTGGCTGGCATGTTTGCTCAATAACTCAGCAGTGTTTCATCTTTTCCTTTTTTGTCCATGGTGCATAAAAGAAGCGCTCCCTATCAGCAACCTTTCCTTACAGCAAACGGTTTTACTTTTCATGTAAAACTGTAAAACTGTTTGCTGGGAGTCTTGTGAAAAACACAAGTTTAGATAATAATAATGGTACCCATTAGCATATAGTAATGTAAAGCAGATTAATGTAACAAATATTTAACATCAGTTGGTGTGAGCCTGCTTTAATAGAAAAGGCTCACAGTTACTACATTAATAAATCCCTCTGTGGTCTTTGCTGCCATTTTTAGATCATGTTCGCATCAAATCTCTTTCTCTATTAAAAGAAATACTATTCAGTACATTAAGATTCAAAGGACTAATCATTTTTCTGCACAACCCCAGCCATTTGAATATATATACCTCTGTGATGCCATGTTATATAGATGTCGATATATACTGCATACTAGGTGTGTCTGCTGTTTTCAAACTTGTAGCTCCAAGGCATCAGGCAGCAGCTGTTGTTCACCTCCAAAAGATTTCTGCAGTTTCAACATGCTGATAACTGTGAAATGTGTGGTGCAGGTAGTTTAATAATCCTCATGCTCAGACTAGTATTTGCCAGACCAGTCATGATTTTTCTATATGACCCCATTCTACCTTATTTGATACACTTAGTGGAGGTCAAAAAGGATTGATTTTCTTAATGGATACAGAGAAGGGCTGGATTTATGTCAGCTGTATCTATTTTTCTGTGGTTATGCAAAACTAAAGCCTTATGGCATGTAAACTAAATTAAAACAAAAAAAAAAGACTTGATCATTGGGTTACGCTACATTGCCCTCTTGTGGCCGTTAGAATTAGGGGGGATTAAATTAAAATATAGTTGATTTTATTATAACTCAGTTTTTGAGCTTCTTGGATCAAGTTTTGGCAGTCGAACCGTTTATGAACACAGCTCAACAGTTTAAGTGTTAAACTTTAGTTTCTGGGCAACATCCTAAAATCCAACAGTGACAAAGTGTTCAAGAAACATCAGTGAACATAAATCTGTTTGACTGCTCTTCCTCCTGCAGTAAAGCCGGTCTGGTGGCACTACCGTAATGACGAGCAGTTCTGTTAAAGTGTTTCCCAACAGTCACAGAGTCAACGAAAACATGACAGCTGATATTTTTAGATGCGATTGAGCACATGATTGTTCTTTCTGCTTCACAGCTCATCTCATCATAATCACTGATGTGATCGAAGGCTCGAGGAAAGCCTCAGCTTAGGGAAGAGGCATCAGGCTGGTGGGATTATTTGAGGGAATTCAACCAGTCAAACTATAAGTGAATACAAAGCACGTCGTTCACGAGACGAACAGATAATAGTTTGCTTCTTTTTCAGTAAATGGTGTTGCGAAGATATTGATCTCAAAATTTCAGCTATTAAGTAAAATTTTGACCTGCTTATCTTAAAATTTTGAGATAACACAAAATGTTGATATTAAACCAAGAATTTTGACTTAGATCATTTTTTTCTTTTTAGTGGGGGAAACAAACTTCTCTAGTGACAAGTACAACCTTAATAACTGTAAATCCTATATTAACATTTATATTAAGAAAGGGTCAAGTAATGATTTCTAATATGAACTGGGTTGATTAACGTGAGCAGCCCACAGAGACCCTCAACTCTACAGTTCCTTTCTACAGAGATCTAAGTGTAATATTCCTACTGACTGTTACTGTACTGTGGTTGAAATAAGTGATAGCTCAAGTTTGAACTGAAGCAGCAGGCAGATTTCTTTCAGACACAGAAACCTGCTGTCCAAATTAAACAGCCAGATGTTTCCTTCAAGAGCTGGTGGGGGACAAAACTGAGATAAATGCTGAAATCGAATTTGTCAAATGTCCACAAACATAATATAAAAACCAACATAGCTCTGTTGATAACATGAAAATGTGGAAATAAATTGAAACTGACAAAGGTGATTCCCACCCACTCATCCATCTTCTTCCACTCATCACAGTGAAGCTCGAGCCTCAGCTGCCACATAGCAAAACACGGGGGTGTTGCAGGGCTGACACAAAGAAACAACCACTCACATTCACCCCTACAGCTAATTTAGAATCACCAATCTACCTAACCCCACTAACTGCCTGTCTGAGTACCCGGAGAGGACCCACTCGGCATGAAAATTCCACACAGGAAGGTCTCAGGCAGATTGGATAGTGGATTCAAACCCCAAACCTTTTTGCTGTGAAACAACAGTGCGAACCACTTCTCCACTCTGCCGTCCAGGTCTGATAGCATGATTCCCACCAATGTGGTACAAAAAAGAATCTGATTTTTATATTTTAGTAATTAAAGCAAGTTATTCATCTTCTTAAAATTCAGCTCAGATTAATTTTACATTAAAAAATCTTTTATGACCGCAGTGTTAGAAGAACGCAGTGCTCGCCTTTTTTTTTCTTCCTTGGAGAACAAATGTGTAACTGAAGATCTATTTTTTAGAGTAAACATCCTCGTGATGGATTATGCTGGAGTGAGGTTCTCTTCGGTGATAGTTAAAGGTTATGCTTGGCAATGACACTGCAGGATGTTCCACATCTGCAGAGATCTCTGCTTTAACGTGGCTGTGCAGATGCCCGCTCTCATTTCACTGCAGAGCAGATCTGAAACCCAGGTAATGGGATGCTAATTGGGCTAATAAATGGAAAAGCTGTCCCAGTGTGTCGGATTAATCTTGCTCCCCAAAGGACTTCAGTCATGCCCGCTGTCTAGTCAATTAAATTTTTAGTTAACACAAAAGACTAATGGGAAAAAACACAAAGGTTACCGGATCGAACTGGCTTCAGATGGTCCCTCATCCATTTTGAGCCTGCATGGAAACTCCTATTAAACTTAGTTTAATCCATTTTTATTGATTGCATGTACTTCTGCTATCACGTTTGATTTGTTTCAGACTAACAGGCAGAACAAATGCAGAGTATAGAGGCAGTCACAATAAATGATCCGCTTCAGCATTATCATTTGACATAATGATAGCAGTTACTGCCCTTGTATACTGGCAGAAAAGAGGCTCAGATGAAGAAAGTTT